TTTCTTTAATCACTCGATGATAGAAAAAAAAGAAGACGTTTTTAATTATTGGAAACACGAAGAGAAGTTTCATTTCAAGAAGAGTTAACTATTAAATTATTAGCACCTCCAGCATCCTCTGTATTTTTGGAGCGATTATTTTCCAAACATGGATTATTTTCATGAAAAAGCGATCAAGACTGTTACCTCAACGTGGAGAAGTATTACTATTTATTCATCATAATGGAAATAAATTTATAAATGAGTGATAAACTGATGTATTTGTTGCGTTTAATTTTAATAGTATATGAATAATAAATTATTATTAATAATAATGACAATATTGTATAGAAACCATTAACATTAGATTATTTAAAAATATAACATTTCTTGGTTTATTAAATCTTTAAATTTCTAAATAACATTAACTTGAAATATCCGGTTTATCGAAAACCGGGTAATGTTATTATCCGGCCTGATAACGGATATCGAATAATACTGATATCCGGCCCGAACACCCCTCGTTATGAGGTTTGCACATTCTTAAACAACGGCAAAATTAAATTTTTTGAAAAACTTTTTTAAAAAACATTTAATAGTTATCAATGTTTTATATTATTTAACATCTTAAACTAAACCAATAAATAACAAAAACTTGTTTAAAATGCGACAAATAAGTTAACATTCAATATTGAATAAAATTCCGCATAAAACAACTGTTATCCAGGAGTTAGTCGGAAATTTTAAGAACAAAATAAAATTTTAAGTAATGTGAAAAAATCATATATTTATATGTATTTATATATTACATAAGTTATGCTACAAAAATAAAAGGTGATTTAAAAATATATTTACGATTAGAAATGTAATATATTTTGATTGATTAAATTTTTTAACCAGCTGTTATTGCACGTTTTTACAATCTGTATTTAAAAACTCAATAAATACAATTTTGATTAGTATTTTTTTCTTTTTCTATTAAACAATTCTATAGTTTGCTGAATCCAAAATCCGTCACTCAATGTGAACATTTAGTTTCATTTTTTGTTGTTGTTGAGTAAATTGAACTATTTAAAATGTTGAATTAAATATCGAATATTTCCAAATAAATATCAATAAAACTAAAGGGATTTTCTTCCATTCTTATAGCAAAAAACGCCTCAAGAGGCGAACAAACGTGTCTTAATTATATTATTCTTTAATCTATTGTCAAATACATTGCTTGGTTAGTACTAATTAAAGTTAACTTGGATCTCTAAATCGTTAACTAAAGTCTTTATCGTTAATGGATGCACATCTTATAAATTTTGTTTTGTTCATGTCTTTTTTCTGTACAAGGAAAGCTCCCATTAAATGCAAGTTCACTTTATAGTTTTTGTTTAAAACTCATTTCGTAATTAACTTAATCGTAATTGCATAATGAAAGAAGCAAAAATATATTTAAAAAATAATAACTTTTTTTTTAAGACGAGCTTAAAGCACCCATTTTTTCAATGCTTAATGATTTATATAGTTTTTTTTACTTTTAAAATTTTACAAGTTCTCAATTTCTTTTTACACAATACTTTCAAACTTACAAACATCTTATAATTTTTATCTCAATGCTGCTATTTATCTCAGTTATTTAAAATTATTTATCTCAGTTAAGTATCTTTTAAAAATAATATAGTTAATACTTTATTTCATTTTTTAAATTTATATTTTAATATCAACTTTTTTTTATCAAAATCAGTTATTAACGAGAATAAATTTTGCGGATCTAGGCGACAAACTTCTGGTTTTCTTTGAGTTTCCATATTCTTTATTATTTTAACAGAAATTGTATTACTTTATAGAAATCTTCGTTCTTTATTATTTTATAGAAATTTTCGTTTGCAATTAATTCTTTTTTTTATATATTTTAAATATTTTATTTAGAATACAAATTTGTATAAAGGTTGTAACTAAGAAAACAATAACACTGATTTAACACTTCCCAGGCAGCCGCCAATAGTGGCTAGTGGACCATTGTCCACTAAGTAACCAATGAGCAAAACTACAGTAGTCTGCTTAAAATAACTATATAGTCCACTAAAATTCTGCGATAAAATGTTTACTGGGTCAGTAGCAAGGTTTCAACGGGTGTTTGGGGTTGCCATACACCCCAAAAGAAGATTATGCTCAACTTATAGTAGTTTTTTTTTCAGTAATATTGTTGTCTAATTGGCATTTGACACATTTCAGTCGGCAGATGTTTAATTTTAAGAACCTTTTTTTTTTGAAGTTAGCTTTTTTGAAGAATTCACACACCCCACCCCCTCATTCGTTTAGTTTCTGAAAAAGCATTAAGTTGCATTGTACTACAGTGACATTAAGTTACATTGTACTACAGTGTTCCTTAGTATCATAAGTTTTGTGAGTATAAAAATTTTTCCTTGACAATCCAAATAAATTTATTATTTGCTTTACTTGACATCTGAACCAGATATGCATCTATATATATATATATATATATATATATATATATATATATATATATATATATATATATATATATATATATATATATATATATATATATATATATATATATATATATATATATATATATATATATATATATATATATATATATATATATATACATATATATATATATATATATATATATATATATATATATATATATATATATATATATATATATATATATATATATGCGTGTGTATATGTAAGTATTTAGTTTACACGTTTTAAAACAGGTTAAATTTGTTTTGAAGTCACTAAATGCTCACTTTTAGTGACAAATTTACTTTTTGAAAGCTCACTTTTAGTAACAAATTTACTTTTTGAAAAAAGTTACTTTTAAAGATAACCCTTTATTTTTCGCTGGGTCCCATATTTTATATAACTTTTTTTCTCCCAAATTATATCCTTGATCATCTAGGATCTCAAATTATATCCTTGATCATCTCAAATTATATCCTTGATTATCTGGGATCTCAAAAGACTTTTAATATAAAGATTTAAAAATTTTAAATATTTTTTATTAAAATCATGGGAAAGTTTAGTTAATTGTAGCCATGTGCGGTCAACCATAATACATATTTTATTCATGACATATATTGCAGCCATATACATGAATCGTTAACTTGACATAACATATCCCCTTTTTCAAGTTAACGATTCATATAAAATTATATATTTTTACTATATTTATATTCACGTAAGAAAGCTTCATTTCAATTATTGTTGTACTTTTAGTTTTAAGAATATTTTAGTACTTTTTTTAACAGAAATTATGTCTTCAAACAAAGGTAGTAATGTAGTGGTGTAGCGCTCGCTACACCACTACATTGCTACCAAGTCAAATTACTCAAAAATCCAACCAAAAAAATTTTTAATTTATATAACTTAGTATTACTTAAACCCAAAAGGGTGTTTATTTAAAAACTTTAAACTTTGCTTAAAATTTTAAAATGTTGAAAAAGTTGAACCTTTTATTTTACTTTTATACATATACACATTAATTAGTAAACTTTGTAAAATTGTAAAATTGTAAACGCTTTGACAGAACTACCATATGGAAAATAATAATGTTTTGGCAACTTTTTTAATATTAAGGTTAGAAAACATTAGTTTTATCGAGGCTACTATTGACGTTATTGAAAATTTGTTTTTAACCTTAAAAGTTTAATGCGGCTCCATTCAATACGATTCAAGATTATTCAATTATATAAGAATTAAAAATTATTTAACATTAAATATGAATTTTTTTAAATAGTTTATAACAAAAAATAAAAAAAAATAATCTAAAGAATAATGATAGCAAATCTTTTTATTATTCCCTTTTAATAAAGTTAATATACCTTAAAGTTAATATATTTATACAATTGATAATGTTACGAATACTTATATATTAACCCAGGTGAATTTATTAAAGAAAAACAAATGACAAACTTAAGATATCCTGACCATAAACAACCAGGTGATTTTTCAATCTTAAAAAATGGAACAATGTTTATGAGAATAAATGAATTTTGTTTTAATTTTTTTTTTCTTTCATATAAATTAATTCAAAACGCCTTTATACTGGTCGCCATGACTTTATAAATAAATTCATTTCCAATAACGAGGAAGCAACTACATAATAAATATATTTTAAAAAAAGGTTTTATTTGTAAATAAATGTAAAACTAAAAAAAAATATTACTTAAGTAATTTTACAGAAAAAAAAGAAAAATTTATTTTTAAATTACTAGCAGATGCTAACTAATCTATATTTTGACCATGTTTGTTTATTCCGCTTAGTTTACGTAGTAACTAATTTTTGTTTTTATCAAAGTAGACAAAATGCAGTTGTCACAAGGTACATTCAAGACGTTTGTGATTTTCTTTTCAATATTAAATATTTATTGCTCACTTTATTATTTGGCTTAATATAATTTGATATTGCATTACTGTTACAGCTTTTAAAACTGTCTGCCACTTGCTAGATTGCCTTTGAATAAATAAAAATTGCGATTCACTAGAACCTCCTTCTTATAAATTTATAATCTTATGACCCATTCAGTTGGTATCTGATTAAAAAACATATATCGCAGTTTACGTTTTTATCGTAGCTTACGTTTTTATCGTAGGTTACGTTTTATACATAAAAGGTTATAAGTAAATCTACAGTAAATCTAAGGTGTTTACGACAAGTTGCAAATTATTCTTTTTAGAAAACATGCTATCTTAACTAGACGTGTAAAATATTTATTCATAAAATGTTTTAAAATTTTTCAACAGATAATATAGAGACATTTTTAAGTGATTTATTTATTTAGTCTGATTCAGGATTTTGTGTGATACATTAATAAAAAACTTATTTTAAACATTGCAAGAATGTAATTAGGTTAATCATTTATTTATATAATGCGTTTAACTAGGATTCTGTTGGTGTCAAAATTATAAGCATAAGTTTAGTTAATCAAATTTTATAGAAACTGTTCTTTACTTTAAAAAAAAAAAACAAATATTTAAATTATTTGTTTGTATAGATTATGCATCATCTATTTTTGATAACACTTTCTGCAACATTTGCTGCAACATTCGCTGCAGGTATGAGAAGTAAATTGCATTCTTTACATATGCTAAATATTTAATATAAATCATTTTAGAACTTTTTAAACAATTTTAATTTTTTGAAATTTTGTGCAATTTTTTTCAAATAACTTTAAAAGTATTTTTTTATTTACGTTCAGATGTTAATTTATGCCGATTAAATGTTCGCTTTAATGAAGACTTATTTCTATCCAGCAACATTAGAAACATTAGAAATTTCAATTCAACAAAAATAAAAGAAGAATGGGTCATTATAAAAAAATATGTTGAAAATGTTAATTTTTCTGTTTTTTTTCAAGAAGATCGTACTAAAAAATTCTTAGCAGTCACTACTGGAAATAAAATCAATTTTATTAATGCATCTGCAAATAACATTTGTAAGAGTCATCTTTTCAAATTTTTATTTATTTTTTCGTTATCTTGCTAGGAGTGTTTTATAGCGTAGTCTTAAGGGGCCATCCATAAAGAACGTCACCATTTTTTAGCCAATTTTTCACCCACTCCCCCCGTCCTTTGTCAGCGGTTGTCCTTTTTCCCTATATCCACCAGGAAAAAGACGTCATAAAATCCTGACCCCCTCCCTATATTAAACTCCAAAAAATTTATTTCATCTTGCAATGATGTTTGAATCTGCTGCTACACCTATGAAAAATAAAATTAAAAATATTCTCATACATTATCTTCTCAAAAACACATGTTTACGTAGTTTTTCATGTTAATTAAACTAAAATAAAAAATCTATAAAGTGACGTCCTTTTCTGACAACCTTTCCCCCCCCCTACCCTTGCCCTTTTTTGTCCTTTTTTAACTCGACCCCCTTCCCCCTATTTGGATGACGCCCTTTTATGGATAGCCCCTAAGCGTCAATTATTTTCTTAAAAACTTGGCTACACTGTACCGTACTTTAGTTCCCTGTATTGTACTTTAGCTACACTGTACTTTACTTTTGTTACACTGTATTGTATTTTGCTACACTGTATTGTATTTGTGCTACACTGTATTACGCTTTTGCTACACTGTACTGTACTTTGCACTGTAAAAGCAAACTTTCTCATTTTTTAGATAACTCAACATAAGTTATGTTTATTTATGCAATTTAATTTATTTTTCAAAATGACGCGAATAAATATTACTTCTAGTAAAATAATCTTAGGTTAAATTTACTCATCCTAATAAAGATTACATTCATTATAATAATACAAGGATTATTATACATATATTAGATCCATCAGGCGCGGATACAGGGGGGGGGGTAATGTGTGTAATGCATTACCCCCCACCAGACTTTAAATTTTTTTTTTTTTATACTCAAACGAGTGCGTTGTGGTGGTTTCAATTAAAACTTTTTAAAACTTAATCAAATTGGCTGCCGTTTTGCACGTGAGCTAAGTTCCGGTATTTGTGAGTTGAATCGCCTTGTTTTAAAATCTAGAATACGATCTTTTATGGTTGATGATTGCTTAAATGGTCTTGCTCTTATGTACATTCACCCAAAAATTAATATTGACCCAGATATATTTATCAATGAATTTTTCTTGAGCATTTTTATAACACAAATTATAACACAAATTTCAATTTACGTGTAAATTGAATTTTGTGTTATAATATGTGCTCTGTATTTATGAACCTGCAGTCAATTGGTGTTTATAAGTTTGTTTATGAACAAAATGTAGTCTACTGTGTTTATGAATTTTTAGACTGTTGTCAACTGGTGTTAATCAACTTTCAACTGGTGTTAATGAACTTGTAAACTGGTGTTTATTAATTTTTAATCAACTGATATTAATAAACCTATTTTATAATAATTTATTTGCCTGTCTCACATAAATTTTTTTGAGGGAATACCCCATCCCAAACCCTTCCCTCGTTAAACCTCCAAGCATTACTCCCCACCATTGAATTCTGGATCCGCCGCTGAGATCCATGTCTAAAAATAACTTTTAGACAAGTAACACACTTCAAAATTGGGTATATTTATGTTACAGAAGTCTTTTTTAAAATCTGTAAAGCTTAAATATTCAAGAATGTACCAAATACCTAATAACTTCTTGAGAACGCAATTGTTTATCTGAAAAAATAGTACCTTAAAGAGCAGGTCGAGTTTTGAAAATAGTCAATCTCAGCTACATCTTAAGCCTGTTGTCAACCAAACCTGGCGTACACTACTGAATCTCTTGAGAAACTTAAAAACTTAGATAAGTTATTGCAAGAATAGAGTACGACATATTGATGTGTTTTATTAGGTGCCTTTTATAAACCAGAATGGAAACTAATCCGTCAAAAAATGTTTTGCTAACTATACACTACTGGTTTACATAGCTGGCAACTTTAACAAATGTGATGCCAAGCCACAATGGAAGAAATACCACTTATGGCAAATAGATCGTGATCTAACTCGAGTAACAGCATCTAAATTGTCTTGTCATAACATTGTATTAACAAATTTTACTTATTATTTAAATGAACAAAACACATTTGACACATTTAAAGTAAAATTTTCTTGATGAAAACGGCATTTTAGTAAAGTTATTTAGAAATGAAATGGAAAAAAAGTGATTTGATTGTAAAAAGTAGTCATTTCATACACCCAAATATTTTAGACTAAAACAGCATAGAGTACTACAAAATGAAATTCTCCAGCCTCAAACAAATTATAACCTTATGATGAAAATGGTGTCCAGAATAAGAAGGAGTCAGCGAAAAGTCAAAGACTCCAATCAAACTGAAGAGGCCAAGGAGTTCTTGATGTACTAATGTGTGATGTATGTCATCACCTAGATTTTTATCATATAGATACATATATTAAAGAAATTAAGTACATGAAATAATTAAATATCTTGACAACTCATAACCATATCTACCTGTGAAATTATAACCACTCCTGGAGATCAAATATAGCCAGGTTTGATTTTCCTGATATCAATTATCTATATTTAGACATGCAACATGAGCCATCTAATTAAAAAACCATTGGAATATTCCAGGAACATTACTAAAATGATTATTTGAGCGGTCATAACCATTTCTAAAGACCGAATATGCCCAGATTTGAATTCCCTGACAGCAGTTACCTATATTTAGATTCGCAACATGTTCCATCTAATTTAAAAACCATCGAGAAACCCAATGACCACCCTTGACAACCCCTAAAATAACCACTTCTGTGGTTATGAAAACTCCAAAATTAAAATGGAGCCCAAAAATAAAATCCTTGGCCCCAAAAACCTCTATAAACATGTATCATATCTCTATATTTAACCCATAAGTAATTTTGCCATTTTTAGACTATTCTGGCCAACTGTAGAGCGGTTCGTTTGTTCTTTTATGTTTTAAATCATGATTAAAGCAAAATAAGGTTTTCAAATTAAAAGTTTATCTTTTTAGGGCGCCGTTTATTCGAATTGAAAAAATTAAGCAACACAACGTTTAATATAATTACATTGGTTAGTGGTACAACAGATAATATTAGTAAAGTAATGTTTAACGGAGATAAATTTATACTTAGTAACGTAGCAACAGTTTTCAACGCAGATGTAATTAACGGATGTGAAGATATTTTTCCCCAAGGTATATATTTTTTTTATTTAAAATTAAAAATAATAATACGTTACAATTTAGTTGTAATTATAACTGTTTGTGGATGTCTAACACGTCACTTACGTCACGTCATACGTCACGTTCCTTAGTTACATTTCTTTTTTAATTTTGTTAAAATGAGATACAATTAAGTATATAATGCGATGTAGAGTAAAAGCGGAATGAAATAGAGGATAAAATGGAATTGAGGATATAATGTAATAGATATAGCATGTAATAGAGGATAGAATGAAAATAGTTATTACAATGTTTAATAATCATTTATTCATTATTTTTTAATCATGTTGTGGAGAATCTTTTTCTGAATAAGAATATATAAAATTTTGATTCAAAACAAGTTTCAATTATGTAACAAGGCCCTTAAATATGAAAAAACTTAAAAAATCAAAAAATTAAAAGACTTAAATGAAATATCGTCGTTTAAACGGCAAGCAAAGCTTCATATTCTTGGTTTGTAAAAATGATTGCAATAAATTAAAAAAAAAAATTAAAAATAGTTGAAAAAAATAAAAAATAAAATATTAATTTAAAATAATAATAATAACATTATAAATAGTAATTACTAAGCAAATTACAAAAAAATTATTTTTAAATTTGTCTAAATTAACTTTTTTACATTGACATAGGTATACGCTAAATGGTACTTTTTAGGGAATCTGCGAAAAGATTCTTTTTTTGAAGTTTTATATCCAAAAATGCCGAATCGTCTTTAATTTCCTTTTTTTTTAAAAATAAAAGTTTGAAAAAATAAATATATATAATAGTTATTATACTAAAATTTATATAAAAGTTTTTATCAATATTATATTAATGTATCAATATTATATTTATGTATTTTTATCAATCTGATACGTAATAATTTTCTATATATATTTCCTTTTTTTTCATAATAATAAATGTATGGTATACCTGAAATAAATAAGTTGTATTTCGGCGAACAAACCTAGACAAGAGATTTATCTACCTAGTCGGCATTGGGTCCGGAAAAAAACAAATTTGCAACGTTAAAAAGACGTTCAAAATAGGTCTTTTAAGAACCAAATGCCACCTAGGTAGCATTCTGATCCCGACCTTATCATTGTGTGTAGAGTCTTTGCAAAGAGATTTTAAAAGGAAGTGAAAAAAAGAAGTTTTTAAAATTGAATATGTCCAAAAAAATATTTTTCAGACTAAGGCCTTCAAAAAAAAAAGTTGTTGGCTGACATTTGCTGACTGTCAACTAAAGTTCCAAATTTGCCTATTCCAGTTTCCGAATTTGTCGACTAATTTTTGAACAAAGTTTTACATCTTACAGACACTTCCCTCCAACAAATATAACTTCAAAATAAAACTTTGCAAAAAATAACGCATTAATTACCTCCAATTTAAATCCGCACCTCCATGTTTGCGAAGTATTGTAATATCCGCAATACTCTGCAGTATCTGGTATATCTATTATTTTGCAAATAACCTTAAAGGTTGTCCGTCCTTTTATTATATTGAAATCAATTGAGTAACTAAAAGCAGCTAAGAAAATTTATAAAACTATCGTATTTAAAACCACATCAAAATTTTTTATGGGAGTGCCAGAAGAAGGAGGAAGGGGATTACACACTTTTTGTGTAATCCCCTTGTATTAGTATTGTAAACGTATCCCACATTCCTAAGATCTAATGCTTAAAAATGACGTAATCTTCTTGGACAATGTTGAAACTTAAACATTAGAATTTAGTAGTTTATTGTATTTTTTTTTAACGTGATTTTGCCTGTTTTGCATTGAAAAAAGATTGAAAAAATTGATTTTGAAGGATTTTTTGAGCTTATTGCTGTACTCCTCTCTCTCTCTCTCTCTCTCTCTCTCTCTCTCTCTCTCTCTTTAACGTTTATCATTTTGAACTGTAATTTGAATTTATCATTTTGAATGGTAATTTGAATTTATCATTTTGAATGTTTTAGGGGGCGCCTTTTGAAGGGAATTTATGATGCTCAAGTAAAAAAGATTCACGCAATGCAAAAGGGAATTAAGCCATTGCTAGATTAAAAGATTAAATTAGTCTAAATTTATTTCTTAGTTTAGAAGAAAAGGAAGTAATGACAATTTTGTTTGACAATTTTGTATATTATAAACGAATACAATTTGTATTCGTGTATAATACTCAGTGTGATGATTTTTTTAATATGGATCACCATTATCTAATTCAATATAAAAGTCATACAAACATTCAGAGATAGATAATCTTTTCTTTGTTTTAATTTCAATTATGACGTAACAATATTCAGCTTCTTCATCAAATACAAGACCGTTAGAAATTGCATATAACTTAAATAATTTAGGTTGTAATACAATTCCAGTTTTCCTAACTGAATCATTACAACTTAATCTATTTTTTAAAACTTCAATATATTTCTCTCATTGAAGTGATTAATAAGTATGATCAAAAGCAGAAGACCTTCAGGTCTTATCATCGAGAACCGCTCGTAAAATTAAATAGATTAAATTAACATGAAATATAAAATCAAAAAACAAAACAATGTCGTAGTAATAATTAGTAATAATTAGCGGGAACGTAAATTTCGTAAGAATATATAAATAAAATTGATATAAAAAAAATGTTTGATACTTTTATATTTAAATACAAAAATATTTTAAAAAGTACTGTTTTCATAAACACATAAGTTGTGGATCAGATATAGTATTTATATATTTCCTTATGTAGCAAACTTCATACTCATTTTCAGAAGAACTTAAAAATATAAAAATATGTCTTTAAAAGATAAAACAATTTCTTTTAGTTTTTTCTTAAATAGTTCTATTCATAAAAAAAAATCAAAAAAATTTGTGTTTTCATAGATTTTTAAAAAAAAATTTTAAAACTATTTTGTTCCAAAGAAAAGCTCCTCGATATGAAACACATGACTTTCCAAAATTAGTAAGAAAGGATACCGAATTAGACTATCATTTCTTAAGTTATATTTATTTTTATCTTTTGAAATATATGGATTATGAAAAGAAACTGGAGACTCATTGATTTTACATTTGAACATAAAACAAATTATATTCAAAATATTCAGCTGATGAATATTAAGAATTTTCATTTGAAGAATTAATGGTTTGACATGAGCAAATCGATCTTTATAATTGCAACATCTATATTATAAGCAACATGCTTCTGCTGACGATAAAGAGGTAGCAGTTTAGATTTATTGGTATTATCCCAAGCAATATTTGCATAATTTGTATGGCAATGGATTAAAAAGAAATATAATTGTGTTAAACTATGTTTATTTAAAGCATTAAGCTTTGTGCATCATTCCTATATTTCAAGTAACTTTGTTGCACAACAAATCAATGTGAAACTTCCAACTAAGGTTTTCATCAATATTGATTCCTAAAAAGTTAGTAGTGAGTTCTCTTTTTATTTGAATTTCGTCAATAAAAGTAAGAGTATGACACAGTGGCGGATTTAGTATAGGGCGTGGAGGGGGCGCCACCCCCACACCCCCTAGAACGATCAAAAGGGCCCCCCTAAAACATTCAAAATGATAAATTCAAATTACCATTCAAAATGACAAAATCGAATTACCAATAAACATAAGTACAAATGGAGAGAGAGAGAGAGAGAGAGAGAGAGAGAGAGAGAGATTATTTTAAAACAGAGGTTTGAAAATATTTCATTTTGAAACATTGATATTAAACTCTGAAAAGAGAAACATTGGTAATAAACTCTGCAGAGAACAGGTATATGATGGTGTTTATGTAATGTTTGGAATTAAAAGTGGTCTTCAAACTCGAATAAAAGCGCTTTCACCAAATGCCGTCTATGTTCATTGTTGTGTTCATGTTTTAGATTTGGTGAACATCAAAGCAATGTCTGTAAACAGCGATGTTCAGATGTTTTTAGGTATAGCTGAAAAATTGTATACGTACAGTACGTCTAGTTAATCACAACTTCATAGTCTCCAAGAGTACCAGAAACTTCTATATTAAACAACAGTAGACACTCTGAAACAACTTTCTGAGACAAGATAAGCAAGTAGGAGGCATACAGTTGATTCTAATAATGAATCTTTTTCTGATAATCTAGCCACTCTAGAAGATATAAATCTAGGAGAACTTAAAGAACATACTGGAAATGTTAGATCAGAAGGTATTGGACTATCAGTTTTAATTAAAAAAAACATTCATTTGTTTTTCTAATGTTATTTTTGTCAAAGTTGTTAAATAATTTTTTTGTGTTAACTATTTTGTGTTACTATTAGCAACGAGAAAATTGTTTTATTTGCAAAACAGTTGATTGTATTATCTAACTATTTGCAACGAGAAAATTTTTTTATTTGCAAAACAGTTGATTGTGTTATCTAACTATTTGCAACGAGAAAATTGTTTTATTTGCAAAACAATTGATTGATGTTACAAAAAAAGCTTGTAGATATGAGAAACGATGAAGCTTTTGAAGTTCTATATTTAGCAGTCAATTCATTTATAAGTGAAAAATGTGCCAAACTAGATGTAGAAACTGAATTTAAAGAAAACTCGTCATTCTTTAAGTTCAGTTAACCTAACACCATGCCAAAAAGAAACCAATGACAGGAGAGCTGTGGAGAGATGAAAGAGTTCACGAACTACGGCACTAAACCTCAATCCGCCACTGGCATGACAGAAAATATTAGCTTTTTTTTTTGAAGTTGGATGAAAAAGTATCCATCTAGTTTTTTCAAAATTTAGTGACAGTTTATTAATTTTATACCAGTCAGAAACATTTGTTAATTCAATGTTCATATTTTGGAATAATGTTGTTATGTTCTTAGGAGATAAAAAGAGATTATTATCATCGGAAACATGACTGTCATTAAATTTGAGGCTTTAGGGAGATTATTAATGTAAATTAAAAAGAGAAGAGGTCCTAGTATAGAACCTTTAGGGACCCCGCATGTTATATCTAATAAATTAGAAGAGACAGTTGTATTACTGTGAACAAACTCTTTACGGT